TTTTCATCATCACACCATCTTACACCTCGATCTGCTGATGTAATCCTAGTTCGAGCTGAAACTATAAAATTGCTCGCAGTTTACTTCACACACATGTACATGTTGGATTCTTTTCATCAGTAACAACATTCCAAAAAATAACTGACGAGCTCCGCTTTTAGGCTTGGCTAAATCTATATATTAAACCTTTCTTTTTTTCTTCCTTATACAAACTGGCATGACTGTTACCCAGTCCCTATTTATGTGGGTTGATGAATGCAAGTATCAAGATACTTGAAGGTTCTGGAAAAAAGGTGAGCACCGCACTAGTTGTATACACTCTTTCTCTGTACTTAGTTCAATGAAGCAATGTTTACAATTCCATGTTATGTCTTCATATGTTGGGAGGGAAAGTGCTGGCCACAGATTCGTTACTGCCCAAAAAAAGTTCAATTGTGTTTCTATCACGGCTCAGAAATTCCAGCTTGCCCTTGCCCTGGGCAAATCTTAGTTTCCTTTTTTTCATTTAGTTGGAAGACAACTTGCGTGGTCCCTTGACCATCGGGCAAGTCAGAATAAAATGTTACTTGCTTAGAAGGAAAATCTACTTGTTCAGGACTTTTTCCAAGCCCTGTCTATTTCTTTTTCTTTCTTTTTTGTTTTGTTTTATCACTTAATTGAGAATTTTGGTGCTGTTCAATTTTTTGCACTAGACATGTACACAAAAGTGTACTCCATTATTTTGTTTCATCTTACGTTGCATGTGTGCTCACCTGGAGGGAGGTCTGTATAAGTGCTTCATAGGTATGTGATAAAAACTAAACCCATGTGTACCTTTTTGACACTTCAAACCATTCTCTGCCTTTTTCAAATCTTTGGGGGAACCCTGAGATGTACTGCAATAAATGTGGTAAATAAAACTAAGACTGCACAATTTTTTTAAAGGGTCTATATTGCAGCTAAGAAGAGGAGACTTGACAGGCATATTATGCTGGGTAGAGAGCATGGAGACAAGAAATTTCATGGACATGGTGAGTTGTTGTATTGTGGGCTTGTTTTTATGTTGCCATGTTGTTGTTTTTTCAAATAATGTTCAGGGCCCAGCCAGTTTGATATTTTGTGAGAGAGAGAGTTTGTGATTTACAGCCAAAACGTCCATACGGACATCAGAAATCTGTTTAGATGCACAGCTAGAAAGCATGAACAAGCTCTGCAAGGGTTTTAAAGTGTACATGACATGACAAATAATTTCAGTCTGCTTACTAGAAAGGCTTTTCAAAATACAGAAGAATGGCATTTTTCTTTTTGAATATATTTTTTCGTTTTAGAGATATGGACGTTTTTCTATTATGCAAATTAGAGCAGTGCTGTTGCCATAGTGACTCTTTCGGCTCCAGTGTCTTTCTGTCAAAAACCAAATATCCCCATTTGCAACCTCTAAAGTGAGACAAAGGGTCCTACTTAGAACAGACATAGTTCCCATATTGTCTTAACTCCCATCATTAGATTGGGTGGGGTAGATGGTTCTTGTTTTGAGACAAAAACTGGGAATTTCAGTTTTTATTAAGGCAGCACCAGCGGCAAAACTGTTGTCATGGCAACAGCATTGAGGGTGTCATTTTGTTTCTTTTTTGATGCACATTTGTTGAGCCAAGTTTCAAGAACACTGCTTCAATATATCCATAGATATCATTTCTTCAGTATTTTACCACATTTTAGTTGCAAACCTTATGACGTCATCACTGATCTAATTTGCATAATAGAAAAACGTCATTATCTCTAAAACGAAAAAACGATATTGCAAAAAGAAAAATGCCATTCTTCTGTATTTTGAAAGGCCTTTCAAACAAGCAGAAATTATTTTTCATGTCATATACGCTTTAACCGATAGCTGCTCCCTATTTTCGAAATTAACAAGGAGAAGGAGCAAAAAAATTCCACTTAGCGATAACATGTGTACACATAATTTCAGATCATTTAATTGAGCATGTACTGGGCATCCACTCATGGATGCATACTCGCGCTACCGAGCTACACTAATGAGCTTAGCACATTTTATGTTGTCATTCCTATGGTCTTGACAATTGTTACATGCTATGGCAGACTGTAATCCCCTAACCCCCCTCGCTGCCTTCTTCACTTTCATTTAAAGCTCCTTTGGAGGAACTGAACAGTTAGGTGAATGAGCTCTCATTAAAATAGCTGGTAACCATGTCCTGTCTACTTTCTCATCAGGGCACCCTGGTTGCTGAAGGACATCACTTTGCACGTAGAAGGTCTGTGGTAAGTCTTCATACAAGTTTAGTTTTATTAACTAGATTAAAAGCTCATTTCCCACTTTGAGTTAAAATTATCCCGCGCAAGAGTATCTTTCATTTGTTTTTCTCCTACTAGTGAAAAGAGCTCAATATTTTGTATTCGCTGATTAGAGGCACAGCACACATATTCCAGTCAGTAAGTATTTGTCCAAGTTTATTTTGTATATCACAAAAAGCTGCATTACTGTAATTTAATATTGATAAGTTGCCAATCCCAGAAGAGATATGGTCTGTTTGTATGACATCAACCTTATGGAAAATTAAGATACTTAGAAAATATAGTCTAAAGACAGTGAAATCAACAGTAGTTATTTACTAAGGGAATTGTACACCTCTTTCTATGATCTAAGACTACAATGATTTATTTGTTTACTAAAGTTAATTAAGATATTGGGGGGCAATGAAAACTTGAATGATTTTCTCGTCAGTCGAGAACATGATTCCAAAACAAAACTCAAATAATGTTCCATCTTAAAAGTGCAGTTGGGAACACACAATTGATTCCCCACCAGAGTTCAAAATAAATTATTGTGAAAATCGTTTTGGGATTTGGACTGTCTTCATGAGCTGTTTGGATCTTGATCTTTGTACAAGAGATACTGGGTGCAAGAACTGGTCCACAAGGGAGCTGGTTCCACCTTGCAAATTCTCTTCCTGAGTTTCGTGATCTGTGAAGCATAGACTGGTCCTACATCCAAATTTGCTGACATAAGATTTAAAAGGTGTTTAGGAACAATTGGACTGTCTGCATGGACTGAATGGATCTCGAGCTTTGTACAAGAGATATTAGGTGTAAGAACTGGCCCACAAGGGAGCTGGTTCCACCCTGTAAATTCTCTTCCTGAGTTTCTTGATCTGTGAAGCATAGACTGGTCCTACAACCAACTTAACTATCAAAAACCGAAGTTTGTGTTGCAAACTTGGGTGTTGTCATTTTTGACGCCCAAAGGAGCAACGGTTTTAGAGAAAAAGGTGAATAAAACACAACTATCAAAAACTGTGTTCAGCTACCTTAACTCTAACCTATCCTTGGCTCGAAATCCTGATTGAGGTCCTGGTTCAAAATCTCATCTCGTTGAAATCTTGACTCGAAAAATTTAAGTATCTCCGATTTAACCGTGACATTTAGGTTGATGCTCTCTATGGTTGATGCTTTCTTTCAGAGGTGAGCTTGACCAATTTAGCTATCATCGATTTAGGATCCTGACAACTTTTTGGCACAACTGTATGCAAATGAAAGGGAAAATATTGTTTCTGAGTACTTGCACTGTAATTGTTTGAAAAGTGTTTGTGTTATTACAGATCATGTAGCTTTGAACTATATTCTTTTGGCGAGAAATGTCTTTTAAAGAGAAATGAAATACCTGAACTCTTTTCTTTCTCTGTCCGTGAAACTGACTGATCGCATACTGGGCTGGAAATAACAGTCGGTCATCGGACACTGTCCGACCAAATTTTGAATATGTCCGGCCAATTTCACATTATGATCGGACATGATGTCCGAACATTTCACCAACATCAAGTTATTGTCCTACTCCATCCATGAAATTTGGTTAGACACATTGTTAGAAGGCTCAAAATTGCGAGTAGTACGGTCACCAATGCGGCTAAAATTTCATCTTTGGCGACCAAAAATTCTGGTTTAGTGGACAGCCGAAAATACGTCTGCGTTCCCAGGCTACCATAATGGCGACTTCGTTTCTCTGATCTGTTATGACGATCAATAACAGTTATTTTCTCAGGCACTATGTCCCTCCAGAGATACATAGTCAAAGATCTTTGTTTCTACGATATTCACCATAAGAAAAGAAAGCAATATATCCTTTTGCTTTGCTGTGGAGGATTCCTCACATCGGAAAACTTGCAAATAGCTGAATGTATTTGAAATCGCCCTATAAAGGTCCGGTAATACGGGCAACATTTTCCTTCAACTTTTCTCGCAACATTGTTGCATTGCAAGTTGGAACACGTTGTTGCGCGTATTACCACGTTTGTGACCAATTTGTCTCGCAGCAAAATACAGTGTTGCAAGTCTGCAGAATTCCACAGGTATAATTGGTCAATCGTGTGTAAATAAAGATGGCGCCTTCTTTAATATAATTTAGCATTTCGACGAAGTTCCACTTCGACTTCTGGCCGTCGTTTTCTTCTTAATTTTCCGTGCCAGCGAAATTCTCACAGTATGAAGCTCAGTGTCGTTTCAGGTAGCTAGGGGAAAAATTGTATTTTTGCGACAGTTCTTCCAAGCCTTTTGCCTTTTTTCCTGCTTGTTTTGAAGGGACAAACGAGGTGTCCCAAAGACTATGATAGCCTTTGAGGTCTTTGTAAAGGACAAAGTTATGACTTTCGCGGGTCACTGGTCTACTTCGAATTCAGGCTCGTCTTCACTGTCCACCTTGTTTTTTTTTTTTTACTTGCCGCGCTTCGCGACAGCCAATCACAAGCGTTGAACTCAAATTTGTTGCGAGACAAGTTGTAGCTTCAGTGGTAATACGAGCAGCAAAACTAAAATTTGTTGCAGAAAGTAGAACTCGAGTCTACTTTGCGCAACATGTTGCCTCAACTTGCAACACTGTATTTTGCTGCGAGACAAGTTGGTCACAAACGTGGTAATACGCCCAACAATGTGTTTCAACTTGCAATGCAACAATGTTGCGAGACAAGTTGAAGAGAAATGTTGCCCGTATTACCGGACCTTTCTGCATTGGAAACCCTTGAGCATTGAGTACGACATGTATGAGTACCGATGGTGTCTCTTGGAATGCATGAATCCTTCATAGACATTACATTAGCTACCTATACAAAATTAGCGGCCAAAAAAGTGTTGGAATTTTTTTCTTTACAGATTTTATGATTGAGTTATTTTCTGAATAAAATTCYTACTTGATTTTTATCACTTACGTTGCCGGATGGCCACTCCAGAATTTTTTAATTTTGGGCCCTAATGACTCTGACAGTCTGAGCCAAATCCAGGAGCCCATTATGGACTGCTGCCATATCATAAAGCAGAAGTGTTCATCTTTCCTGTACTTGCCAAATAAAATACTCTTCAGAAATCACCCTATTATGCGTTACGTGCATTGTGATATGCTGTTAGCATTTCATGTATGTACCCTACTCAGTTAGAGTCCTACGGGGGTCTGACAGCATATCACAATGCACGTAACGCATAATAGGGTGATTTCTGAAGAGTACTTTATTAGTCATCTAGTTAATCATAAATGATAAATAAATCAAATTTAAATTTAGTTTTGAAGGATTTATATTGAAAATCTTTACAGTATGCTAATAAATTTTATTATGCTGATTAATTATGCTAATCAATTATGCAAATTAATGTCCGGTCAAATTGATGAGATGTCCGAGCAAAATGAAGATTTGAAAAGACACATGTCCTGTTAAAGAAGAAAAATTATTTCCAGCATTATATAAAAACCGTTCGAACTAGAAACTTGCCCTGTTATGAACTTGGACTGTCTGCATAATTCAATTTGATACATGTATTAAGCCAGCGCAAGTGCTGCTCCGCCAGGTTAAATGAAAATTAACGATCTGTTTAAATGATTTTGTTACCTTCCACAGGTTTAAGAATCAAGGTGACCGATGATGTTGAGCGTGACAGTCTGTCTTTTCACCTCAATACAGGTAAACCGTAGAATGACTAAAAACAGGTCGGCTATACGTACATGTGTTCCTTCATCCGTATTTGGTTTGGTTTTAATTATTGTCGGTACTCAATTTGGTCATTGTTGTTTTCAATTGCTTTTTAATTTGCCAATTTAAATGCTCTGTTTTAGATCGTAACCATATATAAGCAGTTTTAATGCGCTCTTACCAATGTTTACCGGCCTGAAACAAACTTCCAAGCTTCGCCTAGTTTTTACATTTAAGAAACAGAAACAATCTTCATTGTTGACCATTCCCCCCAAAGAAATTTCAGGATCGTAGCGTTATCATAGAAACACAAATAGGCGCTATCCTATTGAGAGTACTTTCTCCGTTTGCGCTCATTATTTCTCCCGCATCCATATTTCCCAGCCATATATTGTAGAGAAGAGAGTGTCGGACAACAGGAACATGATAAGCCAGTTGAAGCCATGTTGGCGTTTAAGGTAGGTCGTTTTGGTTAAACATCAAGTATATATTGCCAGAATAATTTTTTTGCCCTTTTTCCTTCGACGTAAGCGGTTGGATTCCACAGTATAAATAAATTTTAAAAAAATGTTCATATAGGCAAGGTTTGGTCAATTTATTTCAGTGTGTAAAAGGAAAAAACATATCTTATATCCGCCAAGTCCGTGACTCGAACTTGCGACTCCGTTATTTCCTCCCTTGATGTAGAGAATAGCGCACCAAACCACAGCGCCACCGGTCTTTAACGCTAATCTGGATGAAAATTAACTGTCAATGCATACCAGGTTCAACGGCGCGCACTGTGGTCAGCTGCAGCCACGCAAGCAACTAACACATTTGTTACTTTTGTAGTGATTAATTTTTTGGAAGAAATTTTATCTCGCGATCGTTCATTGATACGTTAAATTTTGACCTCAGCTTTGGAGTTTGTTAAAGTCGGAACGTGTCATTATTTTCAATGGAAAATTAAACGATTTTTATTCTGAAAGATGGTTGTAGCAGAGGTAAGGGTGGAATTGGTTATTTGCGTTTTGGAAATGTTTAATGTAGTCAGTTTAATTGCTGTTGTGCAAAAAAAAGAACTAATAGAGGTGTTTACCGTAAACAGCGAACGGCACAATTTGTATCTTATTTGCGTGGATTCTTGCCCTTTTATTTCAATTTGAACGGAAAGTTGACAGTTGTTTCCTTTTTTTTGCGTTTAGGGATCAACAGCGAGCAGCTTTAAAGTTTGAGAAGATGGCTTCCGAAAACATCATGCACATTGATGGATTTTTCTGTAAACGCGATGGACAAACTCAGGTAAGTCGCATTGTTTACATGTTTACTGTGGATTAAGTAATCTTACTGCGTTCATTTCAGCACTTGTAATTAAGTCAAGTTTCTGTGTCAAGAGAAAGTTTGACTTCATTCTTTCGCAAGGGTAAACTACGCAACTACTTGCTTTTTTATCATGAGATTCATTCAGATCAGTAAATATCGACAAGCATTCATTCCTTACTTACCTACTTACTAAATATGGACAAGGATTAACGGACGTTTAATTACAGAATAGACAGATATTAACTGCCCGAAGCCTTTCATGGTAAATTTGAGCGTAAATATTTTCAGTGCAAAACGTCAACAGAGATGCAAGCAAATTTCGCTACGATCGGTTTTGAATCGTGCTGGCTTAAGCAAAACAGAAATGCTTCTTATTACTCGCGCTATGTTTGCTTATTTCCGCTAAATTATCTTTGCACGATTCGAACGTATTGTACAAGTCTAAGTTGTTACAATTGTGAGCTTTTGGAATAATATTTTTGAATAAGTGCTTTGGGGAGAAATATTTGTAGGTTGAAATTTCGTATTGTCTTCTTTTTCAGATGCCTTAGAAATGCCCGATTTGGACAAAGGCCAAAGATAAAAGTCAATCTTGGAAGGAAAGCAAAAATTGATGTGGAACATCAATTAAGTTTTATACTGTAGAGCAAGACTTTTGAGTTCTCATCCTTGTGGTATAACTCTGCACTTACGCATGCGTGCTTGGTATCATTCTCTTGAGTAAAATTTTTTCTAAGTCTTTTGGCGGGAAACGTTTGTATGTAGGAAGTTAACTGGCGCGCTCTCTCTTTCAGATCCCATGAAAATGACCAGTTTTAAGAAGTGGTCAAAGAAAAATTTTCAACCTTGGAAGGACAGCAAAAACTGATGTGGAACACCGCCACCTCCCCGCCACCACCACTAACTAGCATTTCTTTTATACTTTATAGCAAAAGTTTGCAGCTCTCATCCTTGTGGTGCAGTCCCGTCTAATACGCATGCGTATTGCGTGTGCATGTCTTACTAGTAAGAAGTGGATGTACTGTAAGCAGTAAGTTGTAACTACAAGTAGCCGTAAAGCTAAGTTACTTGCAGTCACGACATACATCGGATGTATGTAAAGGACAAGTAACTTAGTTTTAGCTAACTTACAGTTACTTACTACTAACAGTAAATCTGACTTCTTACTGATAAGACATACTCACCAAATACACATGCGTATTAGAGGGTACTGTACCACAAAGGATGAGAGCAGTAAACTCTTGCTATAAAGGTTAGTGGTGGTGGCGAGGAGGTGGCGGTGTTCCACATTAATTTTTGCCGTCCTTCCAAGATTGAAAATTTTCTTTTCCGTGGCTCGCCATTTGTAAGGCATCTGCAAAAGAGTCTTACGAGTATAGTTTTCAGTAAACTCAACAAGTTTTGTAAAATTATAAAAGAACTTTATTTTGC